TTATTAGTGGTAATTGTTATGAAAATTCTGCACCCCACTTTCTGTGTCCCACCAGTGTTACATGATCCCCCCCCCCCGCCAGTGGAGAAATCACTTCTTTAGAAGTGGAATCCAATTCCAGGCAAACTGCTCAGAAAAAGAAGCAAAGTCCAAATATAGTCAGGTAAGATCAGCTGGCAACAAGACAGGTCGTGAAACCCAGTCCATAAGAACTGGATCTTGCATAAAATGGCTCCCAATGCATTGAACGTCCTGAAGTCACTTGATGTCTAATGCAGGTTACTTTACTTTAATACTTCCTGTATGAATCCCAACTCTAATCACAGGGTGAAGCCTACTTCGCAAGGTGGTTGTGAGGCCAACGACGGGAGATGCATTTTATACTGTTCACATCAACAGTGCTAGTCTGAAATACTTTTAAAGCTAAGATAGCTCCTTCTTGTTGCCAGAGAGAGCAAGATTGGCAGCTTCAAACCCAAATTCCTCCACTAATCCAGACACTGGGTGTTTTTAATACCAGATGTACGAAATACTGAAAGTAAAGAGTAGGCTTGTGTGAAGATTCCCCCCCCCCGCCCTGCCAACTCTTGTGTCACAGAAAACTATTAATCCTTTAATGCCTGGATTTCATAGATCGCACCTCCTGTTGCTCACAGCAGGACGGGTTGTGACTGACACAGCAGAAGAGCGAGCTTTACAGACCCGGGCAGACGGATCCAAGGGGATGCGTTATCCGCGTTCAGTGTCGGCAGCCTGCTCCCTTGCAACACCACCACCGAGAAGAGGTAGTGCAATTAAACTGGGGAGGCACCCGATGGAATACTTTGGCTTTGCACCTCTTTTGGTCCACCACTCTTTCAGTAGTAAGCCATTCCGTGCATGAAGTGCCTGCGACCAATCCAAAATGGCGGCAGCCATACCGCAGTAGTCTCACAAACTCAGTTTTTTTTAAAAGCATGATCATGACGGGAAAGGCACCTCACTCTCCTGCTACTATACTCTCTTTAGTAGTCTTGGTACTATTTTACTTCCATACCAGCCTGAACATATCCAACTGCATCTGATTTCAAAAGCTGAGCAGGATCAGGCCTGGCATACATTTGGATGGGAGGCAACCAAGGAGCATCCGAGATTTCTAGGCAGAGCTTGAAAAGCATCTTGACTCAAACGGGGCAGAGCCACTGTTGTTCACTAAAGCTGGCAACAGAAGACAAGGCGCCTGAACAGTAAAAAGCAGCTTCCTCGGTTTGTATCTAATGACCAACAAACACTCATAAAGGATCACATCCTGCTGAACTCCCCAGCATTTGAGGGCTTCTGTGTTTTATTTCCTTACATCACGATAAACCTACAGTCTAATTATCTTAACATTTTAATTAGTTTTTAATTTTGCATATGTTTCATTATATAGGCATGATTTTAAATTTTGCAACGCCCTGATATGAATTAAAAGAAAGAAAGATGATAAACCTAGAAGCAAACTTTTAAATTGAGGTAACAAGCATTGTTTTCTATTTACTTTTGGAAGTTATTCTTAAAGGGAATTTTAAAGGGCATGGTCAGGAAGGCTGGCTGGCAGGTATTTTGTGACATCCTCCTTATGAACAATACTTTAAATAATAGGTAATTTGGGGGGTGATGAAAAACCAGTACAACAGATCACTCAACAGGATAAGGAGGAGCAACAAAATCTTATATTCGAACACTGACAAAAGTAATAGAGAGGCTTTATTTTAAATATATAAAAAATCACCTTAAAGTGCAGACAGACAATGATCCGAGAACAGGATATTTAGACAGGATTGCCTTCTTGCTCATGAGGTTACCTTTCTACTAGGATGGTCATTAAAAAGTCCCTTCCATGTACACCTCAGATATCTGCCTCACTTAAGACACGAACTAGTCCTTTTTTAAAAAAAAAAAGTAATGATGATGTACAAGTGTACATATGGGATTACTCACAAGAGTACAAGTCTACCAGCCTCTGCAGCAACAGGCAAATTGTAAACCATGCCAAGCCAACTTAATGCAAAGCTGTAATCCTTTTTAACTGAAGATGAAAATCAGTTGCCATGAGTTATGTTTGCCCCATCATCTGATAAGGAACAGGAGGGAGCCTCTAATAAAAGGAGGAACAAGAATCCTTAACAATGCGATTAAAAGGGAGCCGGTCATTAAAAACACACACCATGCTCTTGTTCTAACAGATTAAATCAATGTCCAACAATTTTGTCCAAATCCTGAGTTGCCTCTT